ATCTGTAGCTAACAAGATCATCACCACCGACCCAGTCCTTTTGACAATGCATACAATTCAGTAATTCAACGTTATTTTCTGCTCCCATAAATGTGACCATTTCCCAATGATTGATTCTAATCAGTCATATTTTGAAAGCAGTGCACAAGATCGTTGCCTGCGTTCTGTAGCTGTATTTTTACGGTAGTTTTGATCATGACCATGAACAAACCACGTTATTTTACCCCACAGCGTAACTCTACCCCTGCATGCAATTTACTTACTACTTTATCGTACCCACTGCCAAACTATCACACTGAGTGGGACAAAATCGAACTCGTTTTGGACCTTTCAAATCCAAGATGATGCAGGTCAAAGTGAAACTGAGTGAGAAAATTGTATAGCCACGTGAATAATCACTGATGTATACGTATAAGCTGGTATTGTCGAGTGTTCCCGACTCACGAAAGTGTTTAATCACTGCCCGGATACACAATGATTCTTTAGCCCACACCGGATGTGATTTATCAGCTACAGTGTAGGCTGCCAGCTCTTGGTACTCTCCTCTGCATGTACCGTTTGGGTTGCCGCTGTGGAATAGGTTGTGTGGAGAAGACAATAAGTAATCATTCACTGTGCGAATCAGTAAATTCTTCCGTTCAACATGATTTCCGCTGGCTAGTAGCTCAGAATAAACAAGTGTCACTGGCTAACAGCTACTTAGGAACTCGCTGCCAGAGCTTACAACCCTAACGTTTGTTCATCCCAGCAGTGCGCCGAAATCTTTGGTTCACCACAGGCTATTCCGTAGTAAAGACGCAGCTTTGAATGGGATGGTTTTGTGACCGGGGACGAAGGTCTAAACCAGCTAGCTAGTATGTTTATACGTGTGCATCAACTATTACCCAAGCAATCTTCATTTCTCAAATATTCACACGAAATTTCGCAGTGTGTTTAGCTGGTAGATAAAGTGCCGAAAATAAGCTCGTCCGCTATTCTGTTTTCCGATGTATTTACCGGAACGATTTGTCAGCTTGCCGCAACCTTTTCGGTGCCGCATATCTATTATGAGTTGATTTGGCAGGTAACTAGTCCGAATCCTCACAGACTCAACATAACCTCGGTTTGGTCAATTTACGGTGGATGAAATAGATTCAGTTTTTTCCCCTCTGACAGAACACGTGAATGAGTTTGCCATAGCGCTGTTATACTACTGATCCGATAAAGTAGCGTGTGTCTGGACGGAATAATTTGAAACCTTCACGCTGCTCCTCATATTATCCAGCGTTTTTAAAGCGGTCATTTTGAAAAAAAGCCTGTGAAGACGGATTGGACAGTATATAAACACAGGAGCAGTTTAAATTCAGGCTGCATGCTACTGCGGGAATTGCTAAAAACGGTATGTCCTAAGTTAAATAAAATGAACCAGCCGTCAAAGATACGACTGACGTGTCATATGACAGTAACTGTCAGACTGTCTTGTTGTGCTACTATGATGACCACGAAACCGAATTGCTTAAAAGAGGAAGTAATTACAAGTTTTGGATTTTGCCGGTTGAAATAAGCTACAGGTCAATAAGCTCTTCACTAGCCACATAACAAATAGCTGGTACGGCACTACACTCATTGTACCGTAAGACAATTCGTCAGGAATGCTGTTCAGAATTTTACGAATGCAAATAAACTTCCTTCGGAGAGTTGTCCATCGACTGCAGACTACGACCAAACAGCCCACATGGAACTTGCTCGAAAAGTGTTTAGAGATAACCTGGAATGTTATGGGATTTTGCAAGGTAGGAATATTTGAAAACATTCACCCGAAGAAATTTGGTCACTTAAAATTAGAAAATCGAAATGGAGTGAGCGTTGTGGGCTCAAACTACCAAGAAGAGAGCTGCTTGCTTGGTCTTGTTAATGTCTGTAAACTGTAAGTTATCTCTAATCTTTCATGACCAGACACCCAAACATAGTTTTAACCTTCCTTCTAACATGTGTAAATTATACTATGATATCTTGATGACATCAACTTCTGGTCATTGTGGAACGCGCTCGTGTGGTTTACTAATTGTGTAACAGACGCCAGTTAGCAATTTACAAGACGAAACGGCAAATCAAGCATTTTAGATGCATGACTGTAACTATGGCACAGCACTCATTAGTTACAATGGTGGTCCCCGTCAGGGTGACGCTGAAGGCTAACCACTTCATCTATCAAGTTTACATCTACTATAGTTGGTCCAAATAATGAAAGGACCAGTATGCTTGCAAAAAATGAGGGTGATATTTATTTACATCCCTTAAGCGATTGGGACACCTTAAAGCAGGAAAAACGGCTAGAATAACAAAATGTGGACATTTTTAATGGAATTTCGACATAAAAATAGCCTGAAGACTCGAATCTCTCGCTCAATCACTACCCAATAAATGCTTCTTTGTAGTGATCCTCTAGATTCCAAACAAGAATTTGTGTATCCCTTTTGGAATGTGTTCATCAGTGTGTGTGAATATGTCTCACTGTAAACAGATCAGGGAATTCCTGCAAACGAAACTCGGAGATCTAGCATTGGGCACAAAATGAGCACCGCAAAATAAACTCGCTGGGCATGTCAATTAGTCTAATTCCAAATAGCACACAAACCTACCTTTTGCGGGATCGATTCTCATCATCAGATCTATGCTTTAGTTATAGAATCAGAAACAATTTTCGTTTAGTCTCGTTTACAAACCGATTATCGCATTATCCGAACGCCTTTCTAGCATTCTCCAACAGTATTGCAACACAGCAACACTCAGATTCCGTTTCAAAGACACACAGTTCAACGACATGACACATCCGTAGCAGTCAAGACACAGTCAAACTTGTATCTACATGTACGACTAGGTGCGCTGAGGGTTTCTAACCAGCATACCCGAATGACGTCACAACATGTCACCTACTTTGTTTCGACAGAATCTAAATGCACAGTTTTGATCAAAAATTTAGATTTCAGTCTCCGATTTGCATCAACATGAAATAGGGTAATAAGAAAGGCGTAACTTTTTCTTGTATCCTGGGCGAATACTGCGATTCAGGGAAATATTGCGCAAGCTGAATGTTCATACATTAACGAGTGTTTTACAACCTGCATTTGACCTAGTTTGCATCCGGATACTGTTCACGTCCAGTCATCGAGACGATTGGCTGATCTACGGTAAAGTATTTTTCTGGTTTACCAATGAACAAACCTCACGCACGCGTAACTTTGATTGGCCGGCTGAACGGCCACAGCTACAGCTATAAGTACGGGGTGATTTACGAAATTAAATACATAAGAGTAAAAACCAGTTTTCTGTATGCTCGCAAATCTGTTCTCTCCTATACTCAAAGTTGACTGAGGAACGACACAGTTGGATACGTTGGATATGTACAACAACTCATCCTCACCGTTTTCTGATGCCGCTGTTTGGTTGTACTCTGTGGTACCTCCTATCCTGCTACTCATCGGAATACCCGGGAATTTGATTTCCTTTGTTATCTGGTCCAGACGTATCACATCCACTCTTGGTTCCACGAGTCTTTTCCTCTCAGCCATGAGTTTGACAGACGCTTACGTTCTTCTTCATGGCTGTTCACGGCAGTGGTCGATAGGATTATCAAACCGCCAGTTTGATCTCAGAACATTCCTTGGTTGTAAATGCCCACTGTTCCTCTTTACATTCAGTAGTGACCTATCAACGTGGATTATTGTGCTTTTGTGCATTGAGCGTGTTATCTGCACCTGGGAACCGATCAAGTTTAGACAGATATGCCGGCTCAGGAACGGAAGTGTTGCACTAGCACTAACCATAATTGTTCTAGCCGGCGTGAATTTACACTTTTTCTGGACAGTTTTGGTCATCGAGGACTCTTGTGATCCGAAAGCCGAATACAATGAGTTTGCAAATTATTGGCACTATTTGTGTATCCCTTTTGGAATGTGTTCATCAGTGTGTGTGAAGATGTCTCACTGTAAACAGATCAGGGAATTCCTGCAAACGAAACTCGGAGATCTAGCATTGGGCACAAAATGAGCACCGCAAAATAAACTCGCTGGGCATGTCAATTAGTCTAATTCCAAATAGCACACAAACCTACCTTTTGCGGGATCGATTCTCATCATCAGATCTATGCTTTAGTTATAGAATCAGAAACAATTTTCGTTTAGTCTCGTTTACAAACCGATTATCGCATTATCCGAACGCCTTTCTAGCATTCTCCAACAGTATTGCAACACAGCAACACTCAGATTCCGTTTCAAAGACACACAGTTCAACGACATGACACATCCGTAGCAGTCAAGACACAGTCAAACTTGTATCTACATGTACGACTAGGTGCGCTGAGGGTTTCTAACCAGCATACCCGAATGACGTCACAACATGTCACCTACTTTGTTTCGACAGAATCTAAATGCACAGTTTTGATCAAAAATTTAGATTTCAGTCTCCGATTTGCATCAACATGAAATAGGGTAATAAGAAAGGCGTAACTTTTTCTTGTATCCTGGGCGAATACTGCGATTCAGGGAAATATTGCGCAAGCTGAATGTTCATACATTAACGAGTGTTTTACAACCTGCATTTGACCTAGTTTGCATCCGGATACTGTTCACGTCCAGTCATCGAGACGATTGGCTGATGTACGGTAAAGTATTTTTCTGGTTTACCAATGAACAAACCTCACGCACGCGTAACTTTGATTGGCCGGCTGAACGGCCACAGCTACAGCTATAAGTACGGGGTGATTTACGAAATTAAATACATAAGAGTAAAAACCAGTTTTCTGTATGCTCGCAAATCTGTTCTCTCCTATACTCAAAGTTGACTGAGGAACGACACAGTTGGATACGTTGGATATGTACAACAACTCATCCTCACCGTTTTCTGATGCCGCTGTTTGGTTGTACTCTGTGGTACCTCCTATCCTGCTACTCATCGGAATACCCGGGAATTTGATTTCCTTTGTTATCTGGTCCAGACGTATCACATCCACTCTTGGTTCCACGAGTCTTTTCCTCTCAGCCATGAGTTTGACAGACGCTTACGTTCTTCTTCATGGCTGTTCACGGCAGTGGTCGATAGGATTATCAAACCGCCAGTTTGATCTCAGAACATTCCTTGGTTGTAAATGCCCACTGTTCCTCTTTACATTCAGTAGTGACCTATCAACGTGGATTATTGTGCTTTTGTGCATTGAGCGTGTTATCTGCACCTGGGAACCGATCAAGTTTAGACAGATATGCCGGCTCAGGAACGGAAGTGTTGCACTAGCACTAACCATAATTGTTCTAGCCGGCGTGAATTTACACTTTTTCTGGACAGTTTTGGTCATCGAGGACTCTTGTGATCCGAAAGCCGAATACAATGAGTTTGCAAATTATTGGCACTACTTAGATTTTGCAATCTATTCTTTCGTTCCCCTTGCACTTATGTTAATACTCAATTCCACAATCATATTACGCATACAAATGACACAAAAATCGATGAAACGAACATCTGCATCCGTGGACAATTCAGTAACCATACGGTCCCAGCATGACGGAAAGCCGTCAACTAACCACTCGCGTGCGACTGCGAGGTCGATGCGCATTCTGCGCACTGTGTCCTGCATGGCTATCTGCCATTTCACTTTGACCATGCCCATCGTACTTCATTTTCTATTCCAAGATAAATTTTGCTTGACCTCTTCTGGGGAATTCCTCTCACAATGCGACCTCGTTGAAGTTCTAGTCGTTTCCTTGCAGATGACAAACCACATGGTTCACTTCTTCATCTACTCGTTCACATCAAGTGTATTTGTGGCTGACTTGAGAAGAATGCTGGATGATGGATGTTCTGGTTACCGGTGAACAGTGATCAGTAAGCAGATCGACTCCCGGTTATTGATCGGTTGATTCATGGGTAATGAGTCATGTATTGTGTTCTCACAGAAAATCAGTGATCTTTCTACTGAAGATTTTGTTTTAAGTTGAAAGACATTGGAGTAAATTGTCAATCATATTTGGCAAATAAATTCAGGTGTTTTTGTAGCCTAGATGTTACGCCCTCAAGAAGTTGTCAGATAATTTGGAGTTCATGGAGTGCTGTCTATCACACGATGCTGACAAATCACACCGCGCTTCCAAGCCCGTCAGAAACCCCTTTAAAAATTTGGCTTCTCTGTTAGCGTTTTAAAGCTAAGTTACAAGAAAGCTCTCGTCTTCAGCCGACGTATGGCTGTCATCTCACTCGCGAGATGAAAAAGAACTCCGTTCTACATGGCCAAAGTAAAGCATAATTTTGAGGGACAATTTTTTGAAACGGTATTTTACTTACTCTTATGTCACGTTGATGCAGTTTAATTTCATCAAATGGTTAATCAGAGTGAAATAACTTTGGATCAGTAGGATAAGGCAAACACGTTACAAAAGTACATTGTCAGTTGGGTACGACCCTTTGACATGTAAGCGATCATCAACGAAGCTACACAAGAAGTGCTGGAGCGAGACTTTCTGCCTGGTTTTGGACTAGGGTTGTCTGTCATTCGGAGCCCCGATCCAGAGTAATTGGCAAACCAACATAATATTGGAGGAATGGTAATGAACTGCTCTTGGTTTGACACTGAAGTAGTTTTTGATTCTTTATTGCCGTAACTGCACCAGATGAAAACCCTGAGTTGAATGATAGAAATTGCATTGGGATGTTTGCACTGATTGCGTTTGTCAAAGGTAAATCGTTTTCCGTCTGCCCTCTAGAAATCTAGATGATGGTTCCTAGTTAACTTGAAATGATGATTCATTGTCATAGGGGATAGGATATCTCACTTGAGAGCGGCACTATACACCTTTACACGTGATGTGCACAAGCTGGTGTTTGCTGCATTACATCGGCTGCTAACATGATATTATCATCTCATTTTCTAACTCGGCAGAGATGGTAAGATTGTGTTATCCAGTATCGGTCCAGTGAGGATGCTGTGTCACATTTTCGAAGCACTCAATTGGAATCCGTGGTGGCCGGTCAGTCTCTTTGTTTGAGAAACCACATGGCCGAATCTAGAGAAAAGATGTACAAGAGAACCACAAAATTATTGTTCATGAAATGGTGCAGCATCAGGTTGGATGAGACGGTCAAATGCGAAACAGGATTAAACCCATTCCATCTGCTTGGAATCTAGTTGGATAAGAGGTATCCTGTTTTGGATTTTCTTGTCTTATTAGAGTTACCAATCTCACTAAAACAAAATGATGATGTGTGAAGCAGTTGTAAGTTAAGCCCATTTTGACAGCGGAACTGCCGGTCAAATAGTTTGACCTGGAAACTGGTTGTCATTTGCTGTCACGCTCAGATCACAGATGATTGTGTGGTAGATAAGACAATGAAACCACCAGAGGGCGTAAGACTGTTACGACAATAGCAAAGAGTAGTCGGAGTTTACACACATTCAATCTGCTGAATCAGCACTGCAGTTGTCTGCACTTTGTAAGCGATGCTTCTCATAGGCTCAGTTCTATTTATTGCCTGTGAACGGTCAGGCCATGAAATAAACTTAGAAATTCTTTGTTTGAAGGAAGAATGCTGCGCAAATTAGAATCCCGGGTCCGACCCCTGGTCTTCACGCCTTATATCGAGATGCAGTCGGGGGATCTTCATTTTAAACTTTGCTAACATCCAATTTTTATTATTACTGCAACCTGATGCTTTCCAAATGGACGACTAAAATACGTTGTTGGTAAATTGTACTATTCATCACACCCAAAACATCATTAATGAGCTTAGGGAGTTGATGTTAGTGTCGCGGTCAAATTTTTTCTTAATGAAACCGTACAAGCTCCAAAACATTTGTCTATCCTTATACTTTTGATTTGGTCAATCAAAATAAACAGCGTTTTCTACCAGCTATGGGATGCTTTTTACATTTTACATTTTACATTTTAATCTACAAGAATTTCAAAACAGAGTTTCGCAAGTGAGGATATTTGATAAAGCACTTCGGCACTGTTGTCAGCTAAATAGGTGCAGAACCTGGGGCTCTTCTCTTACCTTCCGCTGCCAATCTTCTTAATCAAAGGAAAATCACACAGCAGCCAACCGCAACTGGTTTGGTATGATGACCAGAAAGTTCGTTATGTAAAAACAGAACGGAATGATTACGCACTTTTCTCGATATGATAGCACAGCCACTAGAAATTGTAACACAAATACAATCAGATCAGGTAATTCCAGGTACTCGCCACGCTGGCCAGTCAGACTTCAGTGTTGTGGCTAAGTGAAGCTGAGGCCTAGAATTCTGTCTAATTAGATAGGGATGTGATGCGGAAGAATTCATCAACAGCTTAACTGTTAACCATTTATCAGATTTGAAAGAAAAACCTAGGGATATCCTCACCAACAGTGAATTAGGCAAATCCAGGGAATTAAACAAATAATTCAGTTATTTCAACTTTACTTTCCAAACATGAAATATTACTTTTAAAAATTTCCTGATTGGGCGTCGACTTAAAGAGGCATTCGAATCGTGAACCGGATGCTAAGAATAAAATGCTCGGGTTGAATTCCAGTTGGGTCTGTGGATGAAAGCACTTTAAGTTAAAGAAGTCTGTTGGTCGCTATGTACACAAAAATTGGTGTTCAATTAGAAAAAATAAATTTTATGGTGATTTGGGGAACAACATCGAAAGATAGAAAACTCGGAACTGATGGCGGCCGTCCACATTCTCATCACTTTTACGTGTGGTGCACTGCGGCGGAATTTACTTCCTCCTGAAATAGGATAAAAATGGTGCCTACAAAACATTTTACAGCAAACTACGCAGACATATTCTGTTTTTTTGGGGAATTTAATTCACTAGAACGTCAAGGATAAAAATTACACGGATTAAACTTTGTATCGCAACATTTAAGGCCCATTTGTGCTGAAAACATATACCATTTGAAGAGCAGTTAAAATTTTAGTGGCTTTGTTATTTTTTGAATCCATTTGGTTTTCATTCTTGTCAGCTAAGGGAGAGTACTTCACATGACGAGTGAAACTCTTAACTGGAACTTTGCTACATGAGAAGCCAGAAAAAAAGGATAGGCGATACCATATTCTCTCACAGGTTAATTATGTAGCTGAAAGCCGGCTTGTGAGAATATTTGGGTCCAAACGTTTCTACGGTTTGTGAGGCGCGCACTGCTGATGATTCTCTAGAAGAATGAAACGGCTGTAAAACCTGCGTTGATACCATTTGCAGGACAAAGCTCAGTTTGAAAATTTTCAAATCCATCTACGGTGCGAGTTGGAAAAAGCATATTCTATCATTCAAAGACGTAAATGTAATCACTCCAAGCTAGGCTGCTTAGGATTACCATTTCCCGCATATCCATGTCGCAAACTGTACTGGGTTCCCAACAAGAGAAAGCTTTGACATCAGTTAATTGTTTCATTAAATTTAATTGAGTAACGATTCGAAAAATTTGCAAATCGCCTGTGATTTTGAGTAATGAAGCTAAATTAATGTACATTAGGACCGTGAATTTTAATTTTTTGGAAAGTGAGAAGAGATAGTTATATTCTTCAGGCTTGGGTCTGCTGAGTGGTTGACCGACAAGCAATCCGATCGTATACATGAATGGGTAATTTGTTGCAAGTTTTGTTTTAGCAAATACGTTTTGCGGAAAGCCCATTGCAGCGCGGATGCAAAAACTTTAGCACATGAGACAAGGGTTGTAGGCTTTGAACTGCCCAAAATTCAAAGTACGAACACTAATTCATCGCTACTTTCGGCTCATAAGAATGTAGATTAAACCATGATCCTCAGGCAAAACGGCTCTCAGGTCTGTCGACTGATGGCCACTAATCAGAAGGAGCAAGCTAAAATACGTCGGCATCGCGTGAGACAAGTTTATATTGACCAAAGTGTGGAAGACCTAATTGAAGTTTTGGGCATAAGTTTTGTGGGCAGCAAAAAGGCAAAAACATATACAAGCCAGAGTTACCGACGTTTAGCATAGATGACACCTGATGTTCAATATGAATGAATTGTTTGAATTGTCTGCACGTGAATTTTTCTCTCCAAAGCTTATGCAGTGTCTTTGATTTTTTCGGCAACATTAACTTCAGTTCATGTATCTTGTCCACAAGTTTTGACACAACATCTGCTATCTTCCCACTCCAACTCGTTGCTCGCTGTCCGATCAGTTTTACCGGAATTATAATTTTCTTGGCAGGATTACCAAAATTTTTTTCTGTTGCGCCGTGCGCCAACATTATCAAGGTTGTTACAGTGCAACGCTTGCAAATACGCTCCAACATATTTTGCCCTCTAGGTAACGCAATTCCATGACCGAGAACGAGAGTGCATTTTCATCTTTTGTCAGGTGTCCTGTGAAGGAAAATTGGCAAGTAAATGAGTAACAATTGAATGAAAGGCAGTCTGTGTCATCCCGCCCGCAAACTAGACAAATACAGTAAAGTTTGAAAAACAACGCGTTCGTTCTGTACTCTCAGCCAGCCGCTCGGTGAAAAACAAGCAAGAATTAAATCAAGTTTTGTGCTTAAATCTTACGCTCAAAGTCTTGCAGTTTATTAAGATCCCTTTCGGCCGATGAAATAACAGCGTGTTAAAATTCAGACCTTTGCACTTTAAAAAGATAAAATTCTTGCCCAGTATATCTGAAATGGCCTATCGGATTTATGGTGTTCCAACAGAGAGATTTTCCAGTTCGTGGAACTCCCAAGTTATAAATAAGCATTCTGAGAACTGTGTTGGAGCATTTCCTATGATCGTTCTGTTAATCGCACTTTTAGTCGCATGTGTTTTCTAATCCAATGCAATTATTCCAACCAGATGTCCCGCATTCTTCGCGAAGAAGGACTTCCATTCGC